CACAATTCCAGACAAATTGTATTGTTCATTGTGGATTTTCTTAATCCCTTTGATGACTGGCCAAAAGTAAACAATGTTATGTAAGGATACTGACAGTTACAGTGGAGGTAATTACATCATACAAGGTGTACAGATGTACATCTATGAATGGTGAACTCAAGAGCAGAATCAGAATATATTTTTGCATATCTGTCACCAGAAACATCTGAGATACAAAGCCTTTTTCTAAAATGTTAACAACTGGGCTCAGGACATCACAGCATTGTTCTCCCTCTACTCTTACTTTTGAACAGAAGCAGTTTGAGGGAGAGCAGGTACAAAAGAGTGGTCCATTACAAACTTCCATCACCAGGCAATTCATGAAATCACTCAAACACTCAAAGGATTAATTGAAATCATCAATATTCAGTCTCTACCATCAAGTGCTAGACCAGGTAGTTTCAGTGCTAAGCCAACATTATACGCATTATTTAATAAAACTATACCTCCTCTTACTCACCTCAGATTCGTCATCGCTGCTGCTCTCTTCGTCGGACTCTGAAGAGCTTTCTTTCTCTGCACCACCTTTTTCCTCCTGTTAACAAACATATCCAAATCACACCAGGCCTGGTTTTTAAGTAACTCCATGTCTGCCATAAAGGTCTTTCACTCACCAGCTCCCTCTGTGCTTTCATCTGCCGGTCAATCTCTTCTGGGTTGCTGAATTGCTTCCCTCTGCCCTTGTGGCCCTTTTTACCTGTAACACAGTTGTCAAGAGTTGTCACGAGCAAATCAAACGTGTCCACCTGTCTTTGAAGTTTGTAAATCTACATACATACATACAGGTTAACTGAATATTATTCGGCACAGGGACACATTTACACCTTGATAATGCTATTTATTGATACTGAGATGCCTGGGCTAGACACTATGATAATTTATTCAGTCAGAGTTTGTGGTGATGTGAATCCTGGATGACATTATGTGGCGCAGGTGGCGCTGTTATTCTGTACATCCCAGGTATGTGTACACATCTGTCCCTAACCATCACTGTAAGACAAAACCCCAATAGAGTTCAAACTTGTCTTTAAAGTATCATGCCACTACAGAGTGTGCGGTGGGAGATGAGACACACATACAGACGTTCACAGAGGGCCAGGTCCTTTCACCGGCAAGTGTCACGACTAGTAAATGTTAGATAAGGGACATGTTGACAAAAAACAAACCGAAACAGGGGATATGGGATACTTTAACAAACCGTGTGTCAAAGTATCTGGTAATAATAACATTCGCTACCTAGCAGGAATTAAAATAAACGCTAATAAATATGTGTAAGTGAGCCGAAGCGGTGTCCTGTGCACATGGTAACGTTACTGGCGGTTTAACACAAACGGCCATAAAAACAATTGAACCACTCAAACCGAGAATCGATGCGGAAATTACAAACAATACGGTCAGTTAGCTATGTCCCTGTTAACGTTCATGTTAATTAGTAATAACCAGTAGTACATTTGTCGTGTCTTCCCTCAATCGCTAATAGTCGCCAGTACACCCTGCTAACCGGTTAGCATGCTACGAGCTAAGCATGTGAGACTTCAACGGGAATTCGTACTTCTTTAGCTAACAATTCGCTAGCTAGAATTAGCTTGCTAAAATTAGCATGTTACACGAACTTTAATAATAATACTCACCGCCCCGAGGCATTATTAAAAGTGAAGTTTATACAGATCGAGTCCACTATTATATGGCTGAACGGCCTGACAGTTGTGTGAGCGGAGGCACCGGTTTAAAGTGCTAAAAGAAAGGACTAGAAAGTACTTCGTCTCTCCCGCTGTCGGCAGCACAAACGTCGAAACACTGCGCTCACTCCTCAGCCACTACCACAGTCTGCGCCTGCGCAGTCAGGAGCATTCGCCCAATCACTGCACTGAGCATTTAAGTGCCATGTACATCCGCCAATTAACTAAAGACAAAACATAATTCTTAATGGTCGTACCTTTCATTGACAGGGACACTGAATTCATTCTTAATATGAGTTATCATTATACATTATGAGCTACTGACATTTTTTTTGGGTGAGGTTCATGCTTATTAAAACTGCATGTCACATGGGATAGAAATTGTGTATGATCAATATATCTGGCAATATTAGCATGTATTAAAAATACTAGTGATGAAGATAGCAAGTACATTCATCACATAATCTTATACTTATATTGTGTAAGAATTACTAGGGTTTTTGAAAAAAGTCCACCTGAGTTGCAAGTAAAAGCTCTTTTGTCAAACTACTGTTTCTAAGAATAAACATTACTGCTCACATATTATGTGGAGCTGGATGAGAAGTCAGAATAGTTAACAAAATGCTATTCTGTTCTTATAAACTGTCAACAAAAAACAGCCTCCCTGTAATTGATTTTTCTTTTAATCTGAATAGAAAACACAGTAAATACAAAAAATCTTAAAAAGAAAATGTCAGCCTATAATTGCCATACAGAAGTAAAAGATGTAGAAAATATGCTGTGTATTGAACAAATATGTTCACAGTTTTTTTCAGATTCATGGTCATTAAACAAATGCAGGACAGAACAAATAATAGTCATTAAATCTGATTCAGTTGTAGCTGCTTTTCCAATAAATATAAGCAGGGCCAAAACCTACAACACAAGAATCGTAATAATGAGAAAAATAATGGAAATGTCAACACACACATTTTTTTTTTCATCAACAAACTTGATAAGACATTATTTTCATCAATGAAGGCATCAGTTCAGATTTGTCATTTCTTCCTTCGATGTTGAGTCTTTATATCCTCCACTTCTTTCTCCATCAGGTGGTACTCTACGGTAGTCTCTGTCAACTAGAACAGAAAGATTAAATATCAGATATTTAACACACACAAGTTTATTCAAGGTCACTACATCTGTCATTCAACTAAACATTTCTACCTCAGTGTATAAATATGCATATTGCATGTTATTAAGAATGTAAGGGCATAATCAAAACTGTTCATATCTTACCATGTCCAAGAGAATTTCAATCTTTAGTTTCAGGAGGTTGTTCTCTTCCTCTAGCTGTGTATTTCTTTTCTTAAGCCGCTGCAATTCCCTACCAGATGCATTTCCACCAGATTCTGGTTCAACAAAAAACAAAGATTCAATGTTGTTTTGGCCATTCAACCAACAGTGATCTAGCAGACATGGCAATGCATGCAAGAACAAGACAATTATGAGGTTCCCTGCATTTAAACTGCAGAGGGAGACAGTGCACTGTTCTGTGTCCCGCATTATCATAGTCATTACCTGTTATCCAGTGTCCTTCTTCAAATTTCCAGCTCTGACCTCCAATGTTCATCACAGGAGGTCCATACTCAAGGCCCAGCTCTACTTCTCTTGTCGAACGATCCAACTAAAAGAGGTGAGAAGGTTGAAACCGACAGATCAGTCTGCATTCACATCAAATGAACAACAGCTAACATTGTCAAGCTGCAGTGCACTTTTGCACAATCAGGGTTCATACAGATTAAAAAAAGAATAATTCAAAGCACTTTCAAGTACTAAACAGAAAAAGGAACGAACTCTGGAAGCCTTTATCATCTTTGTATCAATCTTTATTGTCCCTTGAGGGGAAATTGGATTTAAAGTAGAAGGCAAAGACACAAACACAACATACAGGGGGACATGGGACATTAATCACAACAGCACCGTTAGTTAAAAGTATCAAACCGTTGGAATCATAGCCATTATAAAGTGTTGCTGAGCAGTGCAGCCAAGATACATCACAGAACATCTACAATTTTTACTAAAGAAGTTTACTGTAAGTGCATTTGTGAAAAATAAAGTTGACAGAAAATAATACAATATACATTGATTGTTGTTGTATGCAACCACAACAATTTTCCCCGCTGTTCATATAAACTTTGAATGTATGCATGTATGTATTGTATGCTTTATTATGATTATATAATGCTTTTGGATTGCCAATGCCAACCTCAGCTGTCTCAAAAACGCTTTTTAATCCATTTCTATCTGTATTTATCCTCTAGGAGATATCTCCTCTGATCAGTGTAGACTCAATGAGGGATCAATGAGAGATAACAGTATTGGCTTTATTTGAACCCATCAGGGCACTTCATCAAAGCAGTGACTTTAGCACAGCGATGCTACCAATGAACACTAACTTCTTCAAACTCACCGTGTGAAGGCTGGACAGAGATGCAGATTTGCGAGGTGGAGTCTTCTTCGGACTAAATGTGTTTCCAAAGAGCGGCATCTTTAGTGACTTTTTAAGGTCCTGTATAAAAAAATGAGACACCAATGGTGAGATTAGTATTTAATAAACAGCAGTATCATGATGATCGTGTTTATCGTTGCTAAACGGCACATTACCGAGCTAATGCTAGGTGGCTAACACTCGCTAGGTGTAAGTACTACTCATACCTGACATTTAATTGAAACTGTCGACTGCCTCACAGGTGGGTTAGTAGTTGCTGTGTCACTTACAATATATAGCTAATATATTTACCTCCATACAGACTATTTACTTAAATTCTTATCGTGGTGGTTGAAATTATTTTCTCTCCAAACACAACCATGCTTGCTACTGCGCATGTGTGAACGGTCCATTTGGTTAAAACAGACAACACTGTGAAATATTACACGGCGTTAACTTAAAGCATTTGGAATGGATTTGTTAACACCAGAAAGATTAAGTCTTTGGAAGAGCAACGAGGCGCTTGAATGTTCTTCCTAGGATTTTGGATGCACAAATAAACAGTTAAAGTCACATTAAGCTTACATAAACACCCCTATGTTGGTGAGATAATGGAACCATCCATATAACGTAAACGCATCACCATGGTGATCGCGTCACTCGGCCTTTCCGAGCGTTAAACAATATTGATGTCCATATTGTGTATTCAGAAAAATAATAAAAATGTTTCAGAAACATAACTTGTCAAAACCGAGGTTTTAAGAAATGACTCCATAGCTACAAGTCCGGATATAAATATGTGTGACCCCGCCCCTTCTGTACACAGCCCCAGTGGCCTAATGGATAAGGCACTGGCCTCCTAAGCCAGGGATTGTGGGTTCGAGTCCCATCTGGGGTGGTTGCTTTTGTTCTGTGGAAGTCGCCTTCACGAAGATAGACAGAGCTACAAAGCTTTAAAAGTAACTGCAGACAAAAAAAAAAACACTGCATCAGTGTCTTCTTAGATAAAAATGTAAAATTACTGAAACAACGTCTGAAATAACATTACAGGCAGAGATTTGGGGGAAAATAAAAGCTAACATGGAGAAGAACATCAAACTGTGCGCATTGCTGAGCACATTGGCCCAACCTACCGTCAGTGTCCTTGCCGTGGTTTGTCTGTACATGACGGAAACGTACTTTGAATCCATCCTAAACCGACTGTTGTAAAAGAAAGGCTGTTTGTTTATGAGGAAATAGTGTATGGCAAACAGATACTGTTCATACTGGCACCTAGCTATATGTTTATATAATGCAAATCTTTGTTTGTTCCATTTAGCTCTATTCGGTTCTATTTCACATATATTACCTTTTTTTAACATGTCTCACCCAGGGACAGAGGAACCTGTCCTGGGACGTTCCCGCAACCTGAAACGCTTCAGCCCTGCGGGTGGTAAAGCTTTAATTGCTCTTGCCCCGAAGTAGATCGCTCTGCATTGATGTGAAGCAGCCGCAAGGTGGCGCCTCTGATCTGAGTCACAAGGGTTTCAGGCGTTTCACAGTTTTACATCGCAAACTTGGAGGCATGGATGCAGTACAGTACATACAGTTTTTCTGAGCTCCACAAGAGTAAAATAGCTGATTTTGTAGCACAAGCGGCTGTGAGACTACTGAAAATGCTGTCACTCATAAAAGTGTTAAGTCACTGCTTGTGATACTTGTAAGAATAATGAGATTTATTCCCTTGGTTCTCGTTACAAAAAGCATCCCTCCCCTCTCTGCTAATGCCATTAGTGCTGACTGGATTCACCAGAGACGCTGCTGTGTCACATGGTTTGACAGACCTCGCTTTTGCAGACAACAGACTCATCAGTTTAGAGTGGCTGATTGCCATGGTGACAAGGTGCAACCCCCCCCTAAAAAACCTGCCGTCCCCACTCGACCCCTCACCTTACAGTAGGTCAGATGTGTTTTACCAGATGAAAACCATCGTAATGCAAGGAGCTGACCCAGGATCCACTCATTCATGAGATGTTTCTAAGTGGAAGTAGCAGTGGTGGAACTAGTTGTTTTAACTGAATATCTGGTTGTTGTTAGTTTACTTCTCTTTTTACTGCAGAATCAGGATTGTATTCTAAGTATTACCTTTTTTTCAGCTTCCTTTCTTTCAGAGGACAATTTGATACACATAGCCTAGATACCACATTGTCTCCTTACAGTAAAGATAGCAAAATGTTCAGTAGTTGCCAAATGTTACTTTTACACTGTTTTTTTAAAACAAGTCTCACTTCATCTTAAGTTAAATTTGAATTATATTTCAACCCGTTCAGCAGGTTTATAGGTAAATAAAACACTTCTCAAACAGTCAGATAGTGAGGTTTTGAGTCCTTTCCTGGCAGATCTTGTGATGTGTGACACATAATGTAAGATTACTGGTGATGAGGGTAACAATCCCCCGGTGACTCATAAGATGATTTATGGCCTCCTGCTCCCCACGGTCATCTGAATTTGGGAGATTATTCACTAAAACCAAAGAAAGAAAAAGGGGGCCTGATTAAATTTTAAATTTGAGATGTCTGTGCTTCCGTATGCACCTGCAAAGAGAGAGACAGAGGATGGAGGGAGGGAGGGAGGGAGAGCAATGTAACACAGGGGAAAAGTTGATTGGACAAAACCCCACAGTGTTATGACAGTTAAAGGAGAGGGGGGGAGAAGGGAGGGCAGCGGATATAAACAGTAAAGGCTAATTGGCCAGGTGAGCAGGTGAGGAACACGAGAAGGACGCTGCAGGCTGCGGGAAAATTTGATCCGCGGACTGGTTGGAAACTCAAGCATCCACCCCGGCTTATAAAAGACCGAGCCAGCTGTGAGAGAGCACCACAAAGCCTTATCTGCTGCTGCTTTGGACCTGGACGCAGAGGAACCCGAGCCAACAGCGGTGAGTCCCACAGCTGCACGGGGGAGAGTACAGGTGTCAGCCAGGTGTGCTTTACCTGTCTGGGGTATTATTATTATTATTTTACCACAAAGTCCTTCACAGCTGTAGACTGAAAGGGCAAATTGAGCGATGAATGACTTGATAAAAGATGTTGTAGGTTAATAACAGGATTTGTTTTCAGCTCACCAAACATTTATTTAAGACATTAAAGGCTCAATAAGTAAAAACACAATAATATCTGAACTCAGGCTTTCAGGGACTGTTGTAAAATGATTAGTGGTTCGGTAAAGTGATGTATTTTTATTGTATTTTTGCTCAAGGGAGGCTCTATGTCTTTTTGTAGCGCAGTGAAATATGTTTCAACTTTTTTTAATGACATTTGGCACCTCAAAATTGGGAAGTGGCTGTATTTTCCCTATTTGTTAATGGGCGAGGGGTTTAATAATATGCCTAATATTAGCACTGTTGTAGGTTGCTTTTTTATTTCATTTATATATATTTATATATAAACATATATACACACACAACCCAATCATTTCTGTACAGTCCCTAAGTGCCAATCATCTTGCACAGCTCACCCAATCCAATTAAAGAGTTCAAGGGAAGCTTATAGCCTCAGTAATTAAGGGGGCCAGGGGAAATCTGACCAGGGAGTCTGATCAGGGAGAGATCATAACATAATTATTTATGCATTTAATTGGATGTTTAATTTATGAAATGGAATACATTTTAAAACACAGCAGGAACGGACATACATAAGTTTGTGATTTCATTGCTTCTCTACTTTTTTTTTTTTGACAACTCAGGCGTATTTACCAAAACAATCATGACTGGATTTTTGGATGGGATCATAATATTAACCTAGATACATCTGCAAATGCAAAAAAGTTAATCCAGCGTGACACAAACATTTCAGAAGTAGGTGAAGAAAATGTGAGCGAGAGAGAGAGAGAAAGAGAGTGTGTGTGAATAATTTACAGACTTTTTCTTTGACCGTACAGGACCAACATGTCGCTCACCTCCATCCTTTCAGCTGAGGCCATTGAAAATGCTGTCAAAGACTGTCAAGGTAGCATCTCCACACACACACACACACACACACACACACACACACACACACACACACACACACACTCTCTCTTCTGACTGTACTATATTTTAAACTAATTAATCATTTTAATGCCTGCATCCATGACATTATGATCTTACCTTCACAGGATCGATAGCTGTAACTTTAACTAACTAAATTCACACCGAATTCTGACAAAATGCACAATAATCCTGATCCATGACCGAGTTGACCTACTCGTGATCCGTGTCTTCATAACACTCTACTATAAAAGGTGATAATCTTCTGTACGGCTGCATTGTTTCCAACATTGTACACTAAAGTCATATCCAGCTTTAACTGAATGGTGATGAAATCTGAATTTGAAAAGGTTTTCAATCAACTTCTCTGTTTTAGTGGAGGCATGTGTCTGCTGGACTTAAAAGATAAAAACAGGGCTGGAAAATCTCCCACCTGGACAGCAGCCACATGCCAGTTTTAATCTCCACATCGGGTTCCTACCTGAGGAACCTCGTCGGTCAAGCTCTGCGTATTACTGTGATGTGTCTGTTGTGTGTTTCCAGCTCCGGACTCATTCTGCTACAAGAAGTTCTTCCAGCTGTGTGGCCTGTCCTCAAAGACACCCCAGGAAGTCAAAGATGTCTTCCAGATCCTCGATGACGACAACAGCGGCTACATTGAAGAGTCTGAGCTCAAGTGTGTGAAACAATCATAGTTATAACATAATCTTAACACTTCCCCGAGATGCTGACAAGTACTTACTGCATATTCACCATCATCCTAACTGATGCTGTAATCCTCATGTACCTTGGTTCATACCTTATGTACTGGAAACAATCAGATATCTTTCTTTTTGCAAAAAAAGCTGCTTTAATTTTGGCATTTTATTGTAGTGAGTTACAGTTTTAACTTATGTATTTGTGTGTGTGTCTGACAGAAAGAGAGATTTAGTGCATTAAATCACACAGTGGTATTATTGGGATGGCACCATTAAGCCGTCTCCTAATAATCCACTATGGGTAAAGTGTTATTATTACATTTGTGTTATATAATTCACCTTTGTGTTGTTGTGTGACAAGAGCTGAGGGTCGACTTGAGCCGTGCAATTTAGGAATTGGTGTAGTTATGTGTTTTGTTTCTTGTGTGTGTGTGTGTGTGTGTGTGTGTGTGTGTGTGTGTGTGTGTGTGTGTGTGTGTGTAGGTACTTCCTGCAGCGGTTCGTCCCCGGGGCGCGGACACTGACCGAAGCAGAAACCAAGAGCTTCATTTCAGCAGCTGATGATGACAGTGATGGCAAAATTGGAGTAGAGGGTCGGTATCTGATTTCTCAAACTGTATTTGTACAAACTCATGATGGAGGCAGAAATTATCTCATTGGTTGGACTCAATCTCAGTGGGTGGAGTCAAACGAGCACACTGTGTCCACAGAGAAGAGCCAACTAACTTTATACAACTTAGGGCACTTTTAACTTGAAGTGCATTGTAGTTATTAGAAGTTAAAAAAACCTGCTTGACTTATACAGTATTAGTGTCCTGACTGATCAAGTTGACAGTAGTTAGTTGTGTATTTTTTTGCTATAAAGGTTTGCACAGGTTGGTATTTGTGCTTCCAGAAAACTGGTATTTTGGACCTGCTCGTCATCATTTTATCTTCATTTTAGAGCAGTTCTGCCTACAGAAAAAAAAGTAAAACTAAACCTAGTTTGATTCAAATCTGGGGAAAAGCAAGCAAGTTTACTCAATTTAAAATGTTTTAATTCTACCCTAATTCAGGGTTTTCTCTTCAGACACGGTTGTACTTGGTTTTAGCCACTGAGGTTTAACTCAACCATTAACTTAAAATAATTTTATATACCAAGTTGGTCAATTTTTTAAATGAATTTGAATCAAGCAGTTAGTATTTTGAATGACATCATTGCCTCAGGCTCCTTTACTTAAAGTAAATAAAGGGCTGACTATAAGACTAACAGGCATACTCCTTTATATATAACATAAAATGTCAAACAGCCATAAGCTGACAGACTATTAGCATTAGTATTGCTATTCCTGTTTAAGTACATATACATCCATGATGGCCGGTGGTGATTTACTATAATGCCTGTTAACTGTGAAATAACTCAGAGCTCAGAGTTAAAATCATAGATTCTTTCTTCAATGTTTATTTGGTGCAGGGAGTACTTATATGGTATCTTGAGGATCTTTGTTTAACCATGTTATTAGATTTCATGACGTCTAGATGCTTGTCCCAGTTTTGCCAATTGTCCGGTTACCAGGGACATCTGAGCTCAGCCGTCTTACATAACAGGACAAAGGATTTGGAAAATCCAGAAAGATGATTTTTAGTCTGTGATTCTTTTCAATCATACATTTATCAGTTCTGCATAAAGTTGAAAGTTGTGTGTGATTGTCTGTGATGAAAAGTAAAAGTGTGTGTT